CGTCGTACGTCGTACGTACGTCGTACGTCGTACGTACGTTACGTACGTACGTACGTACGTACGTACGTACTACGTACTACGTACTACGTACTACTACTACTACTACTACTACTACTACTCTCTCTCTCTCTCTCTCTCTCTCTCTCTCTCTCTCTCTCTCTCTCTCTCTCTCTCTCTCTCTGTCCCCTATGGCCTAAGCAAGATCCCCACATATAAACCCGTTGAGACTCTTGTCTCTAAGCATCGTGGGATGAATACTTTCATAGCCATACCAACACAAGAAATTGGCCAAACAAAGGGAATATATTGTAGTTGTTTTTGAACACCCTTGGAAAACTATTAGACTAAAGCAACCCATGTTTAGTAAGATAATGATATTGATCAATTAAACATTGCAGTACATTGATTTTTTACTTTGTAAGTTTCAGAACAATGAACCTATGGATTGATAAAAGTTAAACCACATCAATGGTATTTTATTAGATTTGAGATGTGTGAATTACCCATGAGTATGCATGCATAGTGGGAGCTAAAGAACAGTGTTAGTCAAGCAAAAGGAACTTGACCAAAAGGATAACATGTGACCAGCAAATACTTGGGAAAATTCTGAAGATTACGGATGCTTGTGTCCTGAATCCAGGGAGTATGTTGTCAGAGATAATTTTATGATCATTACACAATATCATGCACTCTTTCTTCGCTTATCATCTCTTTGTGGCCTTCATTTTCACTAAGGCCCATGACACATAATGATTGAAAGAAAAATACAACTCATGACATACACATTCATACAACATTTGTTTCCATCCTGGTTTTGGTCTTGTAGAGTTCGAATGGGCATTGAAATATAATATCTTCCTTTCGGATCGAATCAGATCCCAGATCACGATCGGACGATGAGATTGTGAGAATCATGAATCTCTCTATGGTATGAGTCCTGGTCTGTACACCTTAAAATCTAGTGATCTCGATCCCAATATGTGGGGGGCCCTCGATCCAAACTTATTTCGATCAAATGATAAATTATATAGGGTCGAGCACCATCGGGTTGAAAAGTAGGACCTCGAGATCAGTATAGCACTTAACTAGTACAGTAGTGTAAGGCATACCACTATACTATATTATGCTACAATACTATGCTGAATACTGTATTCTGCTCTGCTGTATGTTTCAATATTTGAATTTACTCTATAGATTTATTTAATATTATACTATACGATATAGTATATGCTACTATTCTACACCATAATGCTAGACTCTACTATACTTGACTGTTATATTGTAATGCAAAAGAATTTGGATCCCTTGGAACTTAGAATTTTGATCCCTAATAGGAAGGACAGAGATTCCAAAGTTTAAAAACAAGATTCCCTTGGATAGCAAGGGGAGATTCCGAAGTGGAATCGACCCGTTGGTTAGAAGATCCTTGCAAGTATGGTTTAGACTATTTAGACCATACCTATGCAATAGAAATGCAAATAGGGAGTAGGTTTGGCATGTGATTTTAGTTGTATAACATTGCTTCTTAGATCTTCTGAACTTGTTAGAGATCTCTCGGGCAAGCCAAAAATGTTCCAAGTTAATCATAAAGTTTGATGGAACATTTGCATCATTGTTATATACGTTTTTATTTGAATATTCTGATTTGTTTGAGTTCAAAACTGATCATTGTCCTTTGAATGTCAGCGACACGATGAACCATGAGCATATAGTGGAAATAACATTGCCTCCAGAATATCCTGAATGTGCACCTTCAGTCCTAGTGGTTAGTCACCTTTTATGTAGTTCATACATGAATTTTCTGTTTCCTATTGGTTGTTTTAATTGATGCTCCTGTTAATGCTTGTTAATTAATAATGGTTATCAAAATCATGCCATATGTATTTTAATTTGCATAATGCGATCACAAAAACTGTAATGCATTAGGTTGGTATTTTGAAAGAATTTAATTGCATGAAGTGGGAGACGGAGCAAAGGATAAATAATTTCTAAATGTTATAGAATTTTACACCACTTAAGAGGTTATCAAAGGGATAATTTTCACTTAGCCAACTCGGGCAGAGCCAAGCCAAAGTTAAACCTTTTTACTGAAGGAAGGCCAACATCAGCGGAATATAACAAACAAGTATGCAAGGCACGTACAACGTATAAAAAAGGGCCGTGGCCCACTCTTATTAGATCTTAGTATACTTGGTCTAATATCGCCACATATGGCAAGGGATCATTGTTTGCAAAATCGCTCGATCTAATCGCTAACCGTCCTGTTAGATCAAAACCGGCCAGTGGCCGGTTCCGGTTTTGGCCAGTTAGGTGTGATCAACCAGTATTTAAAAAAAAAAAAGAATTCAAATAAATGTATATAAATTCTAAAAAATAAGGAATTTGAGTTGTAATGCATTTTTAAATATTCTTTACATTATAGCAAAGATAAAAATTGTTTTGTTCTTTTAATACTTACTTTTATATTTTCCCATATTTTTTAGAAAATTTTAAAAGTAGCCTTTGGAAAATATAAAATGGGTTAAAATCTATTTTTTTCATTAATTTTCAACTTCATTTGAATGTGTTTTGTTTTAATCGTTCTTTATATTCTTTTCATAATTTAGTAGATTTTTTGGTATCTTTTTTATTTTTTTTCAACACTTTTTTGACCGCCCAGAAATTGCTCAATTAGAGCGGTTGAATCGGCCATTTTACCTATCAAGCCGGTTAAACCGCTTCCAAGCCCATGTCCTGTTAACCGTTCCCGTTCGATTTTGCGAACACTGCTAGGGATTTATGTCATAGATGCGGGGAGCTTCAAAAGTGGATCACGCTCCCCAATCTGAGTGGATCACACTCCCCATGCAAACACGCTCTCACAAAAAAAAAAAAAGGACTAAGGGATCTCGATCGCTATGAAAATGTGGGCATAATCCTGGCTTGAAGCAAATTTCAATAGGTCTTAAATTTTGAAGCCATCATTCTCTTTTTTTTGTTGGCATTTTAACAATTTTCTAGCTTGAGATACTGCTGATAGCTACAGTGTTAGACCAACAATTTGAGCCGATTTGACGGTCATGACCTCATTTCGTACTATAATTTTAATATTTTTTCTACAAATCTAAATCACATGAAATTTTAGACATTGATTCTTCTCATCAAGGCGTACTTAATAAAAATATTAAAAAAGTATTCACAAAAAATAAATGAACTAAAATACCCTTGGAAAGTTTTAGTGGTATTTTTGTCAATTTATGTTTTGCGAATTATGTTTTAGATATTTTTATTAGATTCTCCTAGTTTTGAAAAATAAATGCTCAAAATTTCAAGTGATTTGCATTAGTAGAAAAAAAAACTAAAATTTAAATACGAAATGCTATCATAACCATTGGTTCGGCCCATATTCAATTTGGACCATTGGGTTATACTGTAGTTGTTAGCTAGTGGGCT